GCGCCATAAAGGTGGCTCCGTACAGGAAGTCAACAACTACCGACCCATAAACCACGCATCTATTCTCTCACGTGTGATGGAGAAATCGGTTAATCGTGCGCTTATTACCTGCTTGAATGCAGGAGGCCACGTTAGCAATTCACAGCATAGTTTTCTAAGCGCACGATCCTGCGCAACCTGGCAGCTTGATTTTCTCAACCTGGTCACTGTCGCGATTGTTTCAGGTCTGGCGATTATTACGCTATACCTCGATACGCAAAAGGCGTTTGGTAGGGTCCTAAATAAACGCCTATTACATAAGCTCAAGGCTTACGGTGTAGTCACTTCTCTGCTTGACTGGCTTAAATCCTACCTAACCGGGCGTACGCAGTCCGTGAAGGTAGCACACTTTGAGTCCATTCCTGTCACAGTTTCCAGCGGTGTTGTGCAAAGCAGCGTGCTTGGACCAACCCTGTTTTTGATTTATGTGAACGACATCTGTAGCAGCCTGCGCCATGGTCGCCCATTCCTCTTTGCCGACGATATAAAGGTCGTATATGTCTTCCCACCAAGCGCCAAAGTATCCGCACTACAAGAGATCCGTGAAGACCTAAAGACCTTAGAGTAGTGGTGTCATAATTGGCAAATAACATCCTCTGCTGATAAACCTAGTACCCTGACCCACAAATGCTCCATACCGGATGGTGCGTTTACGTTGAATGGTACGCCCATCCAACTAAAGACGTTAGCTACTGACCTAGGTATTCGCTATTCTATGACCCTCAACTTTTCAGAGAATGTGCAGTATCAGGTAGCAAAAGCACGCAGAATGGTCTTCCACATAGGCCGCCAAATTAACTCTGCTGAAGCACGGTTGGAGCTTTACCGCAATCATGTTCGTCCGCAGCTGGAATACTGCCCCTTCATCTTCAGTAATTTGCGGAAATCAGACCGCATATTGCTCGAAAAGGCTCAGCGGCGGTTCACCAAAATAGTAGCCCCACAAGGCCTAGCGCTTAGTTACCTACAGAGGTGTAACCATCTCAAACTCCAGCCTCTATGGCTGCGGCGCATTATCTTAAACCTGTGCTTCTTACATAAGTTAATACACCAAGCGGTGCACAGTGATATTCCCAGCCTGACACTGAGAAGAGGATCAGAATTCAACCTCCGAAACAAGCACTGCACAGTTGCCCCTCTGCCAGTAAGGAAGAAACTACGTTCACGTTTCTTCCTTGTCGCTTAGTTAAATAACTAGAACAAATTACCTTCACAGCTGCGGGAGATTCACAATCCACAGGCTTTCAAGCAGGAGGTACGAAAGTTTATGTGCCTGGATAACATTAGACGCCTTTTCAACATCTGTGATTCTGATGACAACCTTTTTGAGACAGGCCCCGATGGGGCATAGATCACATTTTGGTCAGCTCTGGTGCAACTTTGTATTGCGCTCAACTAGGCTTCATGACAGGAGCATCTTGCGCTCACGGGTCCTCCCCATACTTTGCGGTCCCTGTCATACCACGTGGGAGATCTCGGCCCGATCAGTTGCACGCATCTTACAGATGTTAGGACTGCTAATCCGACCACAAAAGGTATTCAGCCTACAGTTGTAGCTGAGCGCTTTACTGGTTCCCACTGACGCTTAGTTAAATAGAAAGTCTTGAAATAGTAGACGCTACCGCAAAGGCAACCTGGAAACACTATTCGGTAGCTCAAATCCCTTGAAAGCTCCTTCTCGACGTCCAGTTTCTTACTGCTCAACAGATCAGCACGTAAAGCAGCCTTGTACTATTGAATGGGAGCATCGTAAGCCTGTAGGCACTGACCAGGTAGGATATTGCATAGCAATGGGGAAGCAATCCGAACGGACAAACTTTACTTCACTTCTTCCTTCTCTTCTACACTTTGGTTCCTTCGTCTCCATCTTTACCCCTTAGTATTTTCCAAATACATAGTCCACTTTGTCTCTTGCGAATACTTATACTTGTGACCCATGAGTCACGTCTACTAAAAACATTTTAACAACATTAAGCCTCATGTTAAATGCCAGGTTCTAGCGTTGTTGTCCACACATATGGTGCACCCGTAAGTTACCATTTATCTGTCTAAAATGGTCGTATAAATTGCCTGCTTTATAGGTATTTCTACTAGCCTACGTGATCGGAATCTACTAGTTGCCCATAACCGATGCCCTCCCCTAGGTTTAAGTGTCGCTACTTTACACTGCTGATTATATAACAGGGCCACCTAACCACCTCGAAGGCGATATCACCAAAACCTATATTCAGGTATTTACTCTCCACTTAAGCTTTCTTGGCCAGTACATTTAGTTTTATCTAAGTTATACTTATGCCTATCACTATCGGAAACGCTGGTAGACAGGCATTATGAAAAACCAGATCCTTTTCTTCAATCCTTTATGCTTGTACAACAATTTTTCCAGATTCCTTTTCTCTGGGAAAAAGCTAACCATGCGGCAGTGAGGCCCCTGTCACCTGGAAAGCTAGACACCAGATATTTTGACCACCACTTCTTTTTTCCTTGGCCGCTCGTACGTAATTTTAACCTTTACCTGGCTCCAAAGCCTACCATACGTGACTAGTGCTGGCTGTACCCACGGACGCCGCGGAATTTTGCTAAGCCGTGCTGGATGTGCAATTTTCTGTTGGAATACTGTGTTATACCTGTTTTCTGTGTGTGAATTTTACACCAATACAGTTCTTTTGGTGTATTGTTTTATCTTTGCGAATTTGGTGAATATCCCCTCGCTACTTTCGGAGATCTCACTGATCACCCAACTACAGGCGGTGTCCGCCATCCTTGATTGGTTCTAGAATGGCACGTACCTCTTACCCGCGGAAAGCGAAGCCTAAAGCTACCGAAATGAACGTTAGTTGCGGCGTTGGCAACTGTGTAAAACTTGTGCAGTTTGGTATTGAATGCAGTAGCTGTCGAAAATACTTTCATCCTTGGTGTGCTCGCCTTAGTACCAGCCAGATAAAAAACTCCATGATACGACCGATTCTTTCTGGTTCTGCATTGAATGTTCATCTCTTCTACTCATCAGATGTATAACTGTGCTGGCACAGAAGTGCGATAGGTTGTCAAAGATTGTTGTGCAAGCAACAGCAGTGAAAGCTGTCCCATATGAGCCAGATAACTCTGTACATAAAGATCCATGCTCAACATCATGCACCAATCCAGAACAGTGTAAGAACAATGTTCCAGTGTTAGTCACCGCGACACTAGCGGCTGCTCATAAAGACGAGTTCACCGCACACTCACCACCAGAACCACCCACCACGCTGAACGCTGTTAAAGGGACGACAACATACGCGTCCGTTGTCACTACTCATACGGCTGAGGCCCCTTTCGTCGTTACGCAACCCGCTGCCAAACAAGTTAATACTACCGTTACCACCACGGGACTCAAGACCTCATCATCTACCCAAGCGAAGAAACCTGTTACTGGTCCTCACAAGAAGGTGGACATTAAAAACACCATAATCCCTTGACAGTTATATGCTCCAATGTGACTGAATCCGGGGCGAACTCTATAAAAGATAAGATATTGGACGACAAAAAACAGTGAGACTCCCTGTGTCAACTGATGGAGGTTCAAGTTAAACCACTCAGTATGATGCGTCTCGTCCGTCACCCAAACTCCATACACTATGGTGATCCACGTTTACTCCAGGTAACACTACAATCAGCTAATGATGCAGAGGAAGTTCTCTTGTCAGCTACTCGCCTCCGTACCACATCATGCACAGTTCGAATCTTTCCAGATGTTCCTTGGAGCGAACGTCAAAAACGCAGATAAAATCCGGACGACTTCCGTAAACGACAAGACGCCAACTCTGTTCTTGTTCACGGTGTCCCCGAGCTCAAGACCTCAAGCGATCTAGAGGCCAAAGCGCATGACTGGGATGAATGGCGTTTTATTCGCGAACTGCTCTCACTCGAAAACGTTATTGCTACTTCGACATCAAGGTTACCACTCTCACCTAACTACAAAGGATGTGGTCTCCGAGTGATGAAAATATCGTTGCATTCCGAAATGATGGTAGAATATGTGATCAATACGTGGCGCAAAATGCGTCAACTGCTACCATCCGAAATACGTATAAAGACGATGGGCACTGAACCACCAACAGGCCATGTCACACTGAGCAAGCAACGTACCAATACAATTCTGCCGCCATGTAGCTCAGACCAGAGACAATGCCAAAACACGCTGCCGGCTGAAGGGGGACAAGTTGGTCTCCCACTTGTTGGCGCTGAGAGCTCAATACAACGACCTGAACTGGCCCTAGGGTCTGCAGCATCGGTCCTACAAAAAAACTACCGGCAGCCGACCCCACAAGGGTCGGCGTAAACTCCAACCGAAAACCAGAAGCTACCAACACTCTTCTAACCACCGATGCCCTCACCTGCTTCTATACTAATGCACAAGGTCTTCTCAGCAAGCTAACCGAACTTCGATTTCGCCAGGTCTCCACGCCCTGGGACCTAGTTATGGTCACCGAAACCTGGCTGAGCACGGAAATCGCGGATGCCGAGATTGCGCTACCTGGCATGAGTTCCTTACGAAAAGATCGGCCTAGCAGAGGAGGCGGAGTGCTTTTGTATTATCGATCCGACCTACATGTTGAGATCATTGATGACTCAGAAGCAAACATCAACGATTCTCTTTGGTGTCGTATGCACCTGAGACGTGGCGATGTGTGTTTGCTAGCAATAGTTTACCGTCCTCCGAAGTCTACCTTGGAAATGGATCAAGGCCTTGCTGCTGCGATGAAACGAGTATTGACACGTCCTCACAGTCACGTTCTTCTGGTGGGGGACTTCAATCTGCACGCACTCGAAGTTCCAGCATCGCCCAGCGAACAGTTCAAGGCTGATTTGCAAGAACTGATTACCGATGTACCACTGTATAACAATGTCACCTCCCCCACTCGTTTCAGAACGGGTGGCACCCCTCTGTCTTGGGCCTTGTGCTCACCAACGAGGAACAAATGATTGACACCGGTAGCGGGGGGGCCCTGGGGCGGGGAGGGGGGGGGGGGGGGGGGGGGGGGGGGGGGCGGGGGGGGGGGGGGGGGGGTGGCTGGGGGGGGGGGGGGGGGGGGGGGGGTGGGGAGGTGGGGTAGGGGGGGGGGTGGGGGCGGGGGGGGGGGAGGGGGAGAGCGGGGGAGGGGGGGGGCGTTGGGCAGCGAGTGGGGGGGTGTTGGGAGGGGGGGGGGGGGGGGGGAGGTGGGGGGGGGGTGGAGGAGGGAGCGCGGGACGGGGGCAGGGGAGAAAACAGGGGGCGTAGAATAGTGAGTAAATAGGGATTGTGAATGAGGGGGGGTATGGAGGGAGTGGAGGGGAGAAGGGGTTGGTTTTAAATATATTAGGGAATTTGGGTGAGGAGGGAAGAATTGAGGGTGTTGAGTAATAATAGGGGGGAGTTTATTTGGGGGGTGAGAGAAGAGGTAGATATTGGGTGAATAGGGGGATATTAGGGGTTGTAGGTTATTGGAGGGAGGGGTGGTTAGGATAGGAAGATTTATGGAAGTGGAGAATGGATTAAGGGTGAGGGGGAGGTGGAAGGGATAGGTTGATTAGGAGAGAGATGTTGAGGAGGTGGTAGTGGGGAGTTTAGGGAGATAGATGGGTTATGGGTATATGTATAGTTACATTTGAAGGAAATACTTGTCCACTTCGCGGAGAATAGCATTTATTCCTGTTTTGGACATATTCAGACACAAGAAACAACTGCACTCACCGTCCCTATGACAAGTCCAGCATGGATAGCTGGACACGGGTTGCGAGCCGGACAATATAATAGAAAAAGCCGGCCTCTATTAACAATATGTTTACTCACCCGCATCATTATCATTCGACTCTGCGACTCTTTTCCATCATTGACTGGCTTCAACGACTATTGCCGGTTCAGTACTAAGCCATTTGGCCAACCAACGAAAAATTTTGGCTGTCAACCGACTGCGAATAATAGAGTGCAAAATCGGTCTATACGATGTATAGCCGACTAGCACTACAGTTCAACGGAAGCTACGACAGTGTTCTAGGACGTGGTGGGTTTTCGCCTGGCAAGCGTTCTCCCTATAAAAAGCCACAAATGTCCGCTTAACAACACTGCAACGTGCCGGATGTGACTCGCCACAAAATAAAGTCACAGCTATACATTTCACACTGACGCAGTCTTCAGCCTTCTACATCGAACCTGTGCAACTGATTTTACTATGAAGAATGCTTTAGTGGAGTACCGATCATCCCGGCTTCTTAATGGTCATTGATTGCGCTAAACCTTGTTCGGGCTCCTGTGCTCATGGATCACTACATGTCAAATTTACCCCCCACTTGTATCTTGACGCAATAGTTTTTGCGCGCCACGGCGCCATTATGATCCTTGGTCTGACTATTACCTGACAATATGCTTCCTCTTATGGACTACATCTTTTCGTTTATTCCTTTCATTATAACGAAATGTTTTAATATTCCAAAGATGCTGTGCTTGCATGCATATTTGATCATGCCTTTTAGAGGTGTGTCTCGTTTTACAGAGAATATACTATTTATTTATTTATTTATATATTTATAGTGATCACGCGACGTTGCACTTTCGTTACATCTGTTATTCGGAGTACGTTAGAGAGAGCGACGAGGAAACTTATATGGTTACACATTACGACATCTTGTCTAACCTTGTTCAAGACACCAACTGGTCCTTCCTGACCGAGAATCCGCCCGATGAGGCTTGGATGGTGTTTGTCACCAAATTCACTGAGCTAGTATCAAATGCATCAGAACGCAAGGCCTTTCGCCCGAAGCAAGTGGATTCGTTCCTAAGAAGCCGTACGAGAAAATCTATGGCCTTAAGGGATTCGGCCTGGCACGCTTACAATGTTTGCCCAAGTAATCTGACCTGGGGAGTCTACACAACTCAACGAAACCACTGCGTCAAGTTGATTCGCGAAGACAAACTCCAGCACCAACAGAACTTAGCGGCGAAATTCAGCAGAAATCCAAAGCTGTTGTATAGACATATCAACAATTTCCGTAGAGTGCAGCGCGGGATCCCGGTCTTGCGTGCAACAGATGGTCATGCGCAAACTGCACAGGACGCGGCCAACGTGTTTCGTCAACACTTCCTCCATACTTTCCGGAGTGAACCATCCCTTCACCCGATTTTGACAGAGCTCTCCCCGTTTCCAGGTTTACACAACGTATTGTTCACGGCAACCAATGTGTTGAAAACGCTAATGTCGTTGCGTGTGCACAGCTCGGCAGGCGTAGACGATATTAAACCGAAGGCGTTGAAGGCAGCGGCCCTAAACATTGCCGAACCATTGGCTCGGTTCTTTCAACGTTGTCTTGACGAAATACTGATTCCCACAATGTGGAAACATGGGCTATTCACTCCCATTTACAAAAGCGGTAATCGTGCGAAGCCGTCGAACTACCGTCCAATCACTCTCCTCCCAGTTTTATCCAAAGTAATGGAACGTATAATTGCGGAGGCTTTGATGGGATATCTGGAGAACAACAATATCGTAGTGCCACAGCAACACGGATTCCGCCGAAATCGATCCTGCACTACAAACTTGCTGCTGGCCCGAGCAAGCTGGACGGAGTCAGCTGATGCTAGAGTTGGAGTCGACGTTGTCTACCTGGACTTCTCGAAGGCGTTCGATCGTTTGGACCACCGCATCCTCCTACACAAGCTTCGAGGCTACGGAATCGGTGACCCTGTGCTTGGTTGGATTGCCAACTTTCTCACTCAACGTCAGCTGAACGTGAGAGTCCGCAGCTCTATGTCCGACCCAATTGACGTCCAGCGCGGTGCGCCACAAGGGTCAGTACAGGGGCCACGTTTAATTTTAACATTCATTAACGATCTTGCCAGTGTACTACAGTCGAACTTCTTGCTGTTTGCAGATGATGTCAAAATTTGGCATGACATCCGGACACAGGATGATCACACAACACTGCAGAGCGATCTGGACAGGGCGTACACTTGGTCATCCGAAAACATGCTCCACTTCAATGTCGCCAAGTGCAAAGTCGTGAGCTTACGCCACCAGCTCATCCATGAATACTTACTCGGGGACCAGCCGTTGCAACATGCTTCCCAGGAATGCGACCTCGGAGTGATCGTGCAGGACGACCTTGGCTGCTCCAGACAAGCTGAAAAGGCATCGAAAAGGGCCAGTCAACATCTCGGACTCTTACGGATGGCTTTCGGAAATTTCGAGCCATCTGTATTTCCGCAAATGCTGAGCGCTTACGTGAGACCCCACTTGGAGTATGCGATCCAGGCCTGGCGTCCCTGGCGCAAGCGCGACATCAGTGCACTTGAAGCTCCACAGCGTAGAGCAACGAAGCTCGTCAGAGGCCTGTTTCACATCCCCTACCAACGCAGACTGCAGTCTCTGGGATTGTACAGTGGTGAATATCGTCGTCACCGAGGAGACCTCATCATGGTCTACTTAATACTGATGAATCCAAATCACCCATGTCGCAGTCTCTTGCAGCTGAGCCAAAATACCAACCTGAGAGGTCATCAGCTCAAACTGGCTACACACTACACCCGACTTGTTTGTCGACGAAACTCTTTCTCACTACGTGTGTCCCGTGCTTGGAATGCGCTCCCCACTCACGTCGTCCTTGCCCCCACATTGGCACTATTTAAAAAACGCCTAGATGACACACTTTCCAACTTGCATTATTTGGCATAGCACTTCCTATTCGTAGGACGAAATAACGGGACCCAAACCATGAGGTTACTGACCCTCCCCGCAAAGTGGCGGTGATGTTACATACAGAAGTGTCCCAATGAGCGACATGGATGTATAGAAACTGGAGTAACGTACCACATCTCTCAACGGAAGCAACACATGAGTGAGCGTTATCCGTTCCTTTGATGTCTTTTCCCACATTTGCTGTAATATAACAGCTCTACTTTGGGTGCAGACATCCAGTCCATACTTCAAACTATCATTATGTAGAGGCTTAAAAAACGATTTACTTGTTCGATTATCCTTCCATTTTATCTATTGCTCCAACCACCCTACGGGACCTGTCAAGCATATGCTTTTATACCCGTTATAAATCATTGTTCACTGTTCATTGTAATGCGTAATGGTGGGTGAACAACCAGCTCCCACTTGTTTTCCGTTATCTTCTCTGCTTGCGTTATATTATTGTTCATTCATTTTGCCTGACAATGTGGAAGCTTCCCACCAGGAAACCTCCAAGTTAATAGCTGTTGTGATCCAGTTTTCTATTACCTTACACTGGTGAATATCACTTGCACTTGCATCGGACTTCCAACCAAGAGAGTTAGAGCTCAAAATAGCAACGCGATGCAGAAATGGTGTGCTTTAACACATGAGGCCAAATAATCCGTCACAAATGAGAAAGTGCAACCTCTGTAAGATGAGGTGATCATGCCTAACCAAAGCGGCATTCGTGGTATTTCCTACCTGAATGCATTTCGCTAATTTTTTAGACACCTATTTCTCTATTATCAATAGAAGACATCTCTAATTCATTAGCATTGGTGGCACATCCATTAAGATACATAACATAACCTCAAAGTGCTGAAACTGATAATGTTTCTCCAGGGAACCGGTAAAGGAGAATACCAAGTCAGTCAGGTTTACCTCACATGTAAAGTATCCTGATGCACCTTAGCGTCGGACGGCCGTAAATCCCGAGGTATGCCGAAATGTACTTGTACGTAGAGTCCGATCGTGAACCAAGCAGGCAGCGATGCGCACAATCACAACAATCCAGCGGCAACCAAGGAAGAACCACGGAAGACGAGCTCGTAACCAAGTGTGTGTATATACAGTTAATTAAAACAAAGCTGTACAACAACTGCAGCGAAATAGGTAAACGTGAAAATGCAAAATAAGCAAATTATTTACAATCGCTACAGTACTCCCTCCTAGAGCGTGCACTAGGAAAACGCTCGACAAGTGCCTACGGAACTTATTGAGCAAGCTTATGTGGGAAGGAAACAACACGACCAGGACGTGTGTGTTTGGAGCTGCGTGTAGTCGTAGGGCACGGAGGACTCAATGTACTGGCGTCAGTGTGTCGTTGGGTAGGGGGTAATGAGTCAGGGGCGGGG